AGGCGTGCCCCCAGGCTAGGCCCTGAGGCCAGCTTCTGCCCCTCCTGTCTCCCCTGCCAGGGCTTGGCTCCCTCCCCTTCACCCGGGGCAGCCCCAGCACACGCCCCTTGACTTACCCCACCTACAGCTGAGCCCCTTCCTCCCGAGGTCACCCCCCACCCCGCCTGGGACCCCCATGCTTCCTCCCTGGGGTGACGCTTGTTGAGTAGCCCTGACCTTGTCCTCGTCAGTCTCCCCGCAGAGCCCTCCATGCTGGAGGGCAGTGGGTCAGGAAGGGGACGGGGGACCTCGGGTGGGTGCTGGGGAGAGGGTCATTGCTCTTTCCCCCACGCAGGGCCTGTCCTTGGAGGAGGGAGAGGTGTTGTGTTTGGGACTTGCTTGGGCTGGGCTAGAGGGAAGTTGAGCAGTTAGCATCTCCCGCAGAGCTCAGCGGCGTTTGCAGATGCACAGCGCTTGGGCATGCGTGGCCTCTGCGGTCCCTGCGTCCCTTCTCCTGAAGAGCCAGCTCTATAAATGAGTTAATCCTGTAAACAGTTCCTCCCCCCCTCCGTGGCGCTGTGAGCCCTCGTGTACTGCTGGTCGCAGAGCTTCAGCTGAGCCCTGGGTGCTGGGTTGAGCTGAGGGTCCCTGGATGATATTTCCAAGGAGGTGTACAGCGCTGACCTGCCTGAACGCAGAGCCCCTTCGTGGTGCTGCTGAGGAGCGTCGGGCCTCTTCCTCCTGAGGTGGGGGGAGTTGTTTACAAAGCGACAGCCTGTGTCTCAAACGGCTCAGAAACTCATCCGGGGATGAGAGTCATTCATTTTTGGCTTCATTTTCAAGCATTTTTCAAGCTGTCACAGCTTGGCAGGTCTGTAGCTGCAGTGTCAAGATTTAGAATTATTCTGTCGGTAATTGCTTTCTGATTCATCAAAATGATAGATGAGAGGGAAAATGACAAATAATCACAAGTTGGGGATCTTCAAGGATATCCCTAAAAATGTGACTGGAGAAGCGTGGCATGTGCGAGTCCCTTGTCAGGAGGTCACCTTTGCTGTCACGGCATTTACAAAGAAATACTCTTAAATTCAGAGTTGGAAAAAAATCTGGATAACTGAGAAGCAAGTCCGTGAGCCAAACTGCAAACGTAGTTTTAGATAATTCAGTCTTTGGCCTTTTTTGCTGAGCATGAAAGCAGGTATCATCACCTCAGGTACTAGCAACTGTCCTTTCCAAGAGTGCTAAAAGCAAAATACAGCTTCTGTGCTTAACTTCCCTACCTGAACGGGGTGTGTGTGCACACTCTGATGCATGTTTTCTTCCTTCAGCTATGCCAGCTTGTCTAATAAAAGCTATTACTGCTCTGCTACTCATAGCCTCAGACTAGCACAGCTACGAGTGATCTTACTTGTCTTGTTCCCTTAGTTACATTTACAGGGACTCTTTGCCACAAGTCCCTTCATTTTCAGAAGCGTTGTGGGAGTTGTGTGGTTACATCTCTTACATCTTTTTTTTCTTCCCTTTCCTTTGAATGTTGAAGGTAGGTGACTCATCATAACTCCAGCTGATATTTCTCAGTGATCTCTTATTTAGTCCAGTGCATCAAGCAGAAGACGTATCGCAGAGTCAGAGGAGAGCTGGTGATACCAACATGGATTTTAAAAAAAAAAAAAAAAAAAAAAAAGCGGTCTAGCAGTTGCTTGTTGCCGTTTGCTTTTGTTTCGGTGATGGAAAGGTTTACAGGCTGTCTCACCAAAACCAGAGTGACCCTGCATAGGCTCATGTCCTGGACGTGCGGGCCTCTCCAGTGCTCCTCCCTGTTGTGCCAAAATGCCTCTCTGTGTGTTTTTCTTCCGATAAGGGAGTGTTCCCCACCGCGGCGGATGCCCTTTGTGGGGGCAGTTCTCAGCAGCTGGGTGTGAGGCTTGGCTCACCTCTCCAGGCAGAGGGGGCAAAGACACCATTTGGAGCAAAAGATAAAAAATGGAGAAAGTATAATGAGGATATTCCAACAAGAGCTGAGTTCAGCTCAGCTGGAGCAGAACAGCTTTGTTTTGCAAGAGCCAGTGCTTTCCCAAAAGCAGTGCTTGTTTTTATTTCCCCTTCCTAAACAGGCAAACATTTGTGGACTGCAGTGGTGGTTGCAGTTGCTTCTGGAGCCGTGCATGCCATTAGTACAATATTCTGTCTTCAGAGGGCTCAGCAAACCTTCAGTGCAAATCATGACTCACCAGGATAATCGTCTTTTGTCTCGAGGCATGTGTGTGCATGTATTTGCAGAGGAAGGGAGGCAAGAGGCTAAGGAAGCTTTTGAAGGCCGCATATAGTAGGAAGGGAATGCATGTATTCCTCTCTCAGCCTCACCTTGCTGCCTCGGACTGTAGATGGAGTAGTGCACTGCTGTTCATAGCCCTGATGGGGGTTTTGAACTTCTTGCTCATTAGTGTTTCTACACACAGCGGCTGTTTGCAATTTTGTGGTGTTACATAGGAAGGTTTGGCTATATAGTGAGTAACGCAGGGTCTTTGTTGCATCTTCTCTTACGCTTATTTTAGATCTAAGCAGCACATTTGAGCTATTTCAGTGATCTTGAAGGAAGGAAGGCAGAATGATGCTGTGGAAGGACACTGCTCTGGGAACCAGCCAACTTGACTTGCATTTCCAGCTCTGCCATTTTCTGGTGTGTAACAAGGGGCTTTTTGCTTAACCGCTACGCACATGTTTAGTCCCAACTTGAACAGAGCTGACCGTGCTCAGCCTGCTCGGTAAGACTCTTTCAGATCACAGTTCAGGAAGCACCAAATGTTGTTGAGTTGCTTGCAGAACGGCAAACATAGACAGGAAAGGGTGGTTTAACTCTGTGTGCCATCACGCTGCTCTTGTTCGCCTGAGATCTCTTCCTGATCCTCTCGTCTGAGTCCTTTTTGATCAAAGCAGCTAACGCTTGCTGTGCATCTGTCTCCAACAGTCTGTGGGCTGGCAAGGAAAGGAGACACTGAAGTACCAGCTTGCATTGTGTGGGCACCTGCCCTCAATTGTGCTGTTCATAGAGCACTCAGGTTTGCACTAATAATGCTCAGCAGGTTCCTCCCTGCTTGTCAAGTGCCTTCTTTAATATGAATGGTTCGGGCATGTCTGCACAGAGGACTTCCGGAGGTTGAATGCTCATTGAGAAATCCAGGTTGTGAGATAAACCTGTTGTCTTGTTTCCAACCTGCCTACTGCCATTGCCTGCGTTTTCCCTTTTTCGTAGTGCTGGTGCAGCCTTCTACGGAGCTGCCATGCTGAGAGCAAAACAGCATGCTTTGAGGAACGTGCCTTTCCCCCTTGTTTTGTTGAATATAAAAGCTGACAAATGGCTGTGTTGTGTTGGCTTCTTGTTCTGGCATGCAAGTTTCAGCTTGGTCTGCTGCCGCAGCCTGGTTTGTTCTGCACCAGGACGGTGAAGGTGCGGGGCTGAGGAGGGGAAGTTTGGGCTTGTGTTGGAGGGTGGGAGACCTGCTGTGAAGTGATGCTTCAGAGCAGTTTGCTGAGGGGCTTTAACAGGAGAAGCTAAGAGGAAAGCCTTGTTGCTTTGGAGCAAGGGCATTCAGAGTGGCTTTGGTCTGTCTTGCTGTTCCCCTGAAGCCCCCCCCTTCAGGAATCAGCTATGATAAGGTATTTGTAACTAGATGAGTGGTGACTAGCACATGTGGCTCCCAGTAACGCTAAATCCACCACGCTTTGTAGTAACATTCTAATGCCTGGGGTATTTTTCCTAAAAATAGCAAAAAAAAAAAAAAAAAGGATGGCTGTTATGGGAAATCTAAATCAGAAGGAAAAAAATGGCTTTTAATCTTTCCCTCTTTCAGAGTGAAGGATGCCAAGGAAGAAGAAGCCCACAGAGGGCCTGCACTCTCAAGGTCAAGATGGGGAGGAAGAAGAGGAAGAGAAGAGGAACCCAGCCAATGCCAAGAAGAAGCGCAGTTTTGTGGATGCGTTTATTGTTATATCTGACAGCGATGGAGAGGTCAGTGACTGGCTTGTGGCATCCTGAGCCTGTGCTGGGTCCTGCTGTTGCAGGAGAGTGGCCGAGCATCCCACACTGTGTGTGCTGGGGTCAGGCTTTGCACAGAGGGTATTGTGTGATTCCTTTTATTACATATGAGATGAATCAAATCCTATTTGACTAGAAAATGAATGGTGTGCTTCGTGAGGGTGAGTTATGAGTCTGGGATTTGATAACCAAATCCTCTCAGGACTGAATTTGAAACGTAATTTGAAAGTAACCTTTCCTCAATCTCTTTACAAATCTTTTTTTCATAATTTTTATTTGATTGATTTCCAGCTAAACCATAGAAACATGATTCTGTATTATGTGCAAATAGATAAGAAAATGATTCAGAACACAGGCTTGCGAGTAGGCTCAGACGCAGCTGGTGTCTGGTAAACTGATCCTGAATTACAGAAGCCTGAGTTTTTAACCTACTTCCATAGGGTGTAAAGGTGAACCGTGGTGTAGGTGTGCCTGGCTAATATGTAAAGGCTCACATCAGTGATCCCTAGTGTTGTTGTACAAACATCAGCCTTACCCTAAAAGATTGAAATGTCTGTGTCTGTTACACTGGCTTTGGGATGAGTGCAGGAACCCCCGCCTGGGGGGAACCCACAGCCCTGAGAATCTGTCCTCAACTTAGTGAGGCATACGAGGGGAAATTACTGGAATCAATTTTTTATGTATGACTGTTAAGGCTTTGCTCTGTCTTGCCGGTGACTGGGGATCCTAAGCTGCTTTTTGTAATTCCACCATTTTCAAAAGCATTTCAGTTCACTCTCAAGCTGTAGATCTTAAATCAAGTCCCTTTCGCTCTCACATCTGCAGCATGCTCCTCTACAATAAGGCCATTATCATGTGAGGAGGGGAAAAGCACTAGAAATAAACAGTAAGAAGCTGTAGGGCAAATGATATTGGATGTTTTTTCTTCACATTGTCTGAGTTCTTTCCCATTGGGAAATTCCCTGAAAGAAATGGAACATATGGCAGTAATAGTTCAGTGGGGTTAAACCCTTAGCTCTGCAATATGCTAAGTTAACTTCAGATGTCTGCTGCATCACTGGCCTTTATTGTGAAACCTATAAGGAAAAAAGAAATCAGCAGCTATAAGAGCTGCTGCAGTACATAAAAGATCAGGACCTGTTATTGTCTGCAATTATTCATCTCAATGTGCACGTATCTGAAAAAGAGGAAACAAACGTCTCTTAAAACACATCTATAAAAAGGTTAGGCTCCCTGACTGTTCTGTAAGTTTGTCTATAAACAATAAATTCTGATGGCATAATCGGTCATATTACAGAAAAGGATATGCTCAGAGAGGCCGTTAAAGAGCCAATTAGGTTCTGTTTAAGTGACAACAGTTCAGTCAGTTGAATGAGTGGATTTATTCAGTTCAGTCTCTTTCTTTCTGTGAGTCATCAGCTTCCAGATCCAGTGCCACAGTCTCTTGTCGTGTTGTTTTCTGCAAAATCAAACCCAAAAATGTGATTTACTTGGGATCTCAAAAAAATAACTGTCTGGCTTCTGTAACTGTCTCAGCTCTTCAGTGTACATCAAGTTGAATTTCAATTTCGAACCTTGTAACTGTTGTTCTTGCTCTAGTAAGACCTTGTTATGTGTTCAAGAAGAGGTGTGGGAAGCTCAGATCAATAGCAATTTTAGAGAACAATACATTCTCAATTAATCTTGCATCTGTTAGGACATGGTTCCTTATGAATCAAAAGCTACAAGGACAATTTGGGCATCATTGATTCGATGGCTTTCTTCCTTGGCAGTCTCTTGGCAGGTATCTATAGAACAAGTCCCTAGTTCTGCTTCCAGACCAGCAGATCTTGTAGCAGCTGCACCTGGAAAGCCTCCAGCTTCTCACTTTTGATGATCTTTGGCAGACTGCCTCTCCCAGGAATTTTTCAGTCATGCTGGATTATCAAGCTCATCCATGTTATTTTGCCAAGTTTTCTTTCTTTGCTCATGTCTATGCTGTGGCATCTGCAGAGCTGCATCAGAAGGAATTTTTCTGGACATGGGGCTTTCTGATCTCTGCTATATATAATCCTGGATTCAGGAAACACTTTTTTTTTTTTTTTTTGGGAAGGGTCAGACTGGCTTTGTGGAAACAAGAGGAGATGACCTTCTTTGCGCAGACTGTCTCTCTGAAACACAGATGTGATGTCTGAGCAAAGTGATTCCTGTCTCCCCTGACTGTTTAATTCCTATGGGGAATTGGTTGTCCACGCCAGAAGATGGGTGGTCATTCACAAATACACAATATTTCAAACAGTGCCCAAGAAAGCTCTCTCCAAGCATAGCAACTCCTGGTCTGTCTCATGAGCTTCCTTCTTGAATTGGGCTGTTGCTAAGGCTCTTTGACCCCCAAGGTTTTCTGAAGCTGTGTCTGAAAGGTGATTGTCACCTAGCCAGAGGGCTGGCCAAGCATGAGCATTGAGCTCAGCCAGAGGGCCAGTAGTTGTGCTAACCTGTTTGACTGACCTGCAGCCTTCAGTGCAGTTGATCCCAAAATGCTGCTGATCTGCTGTGGGACCTTTCAGAAGGGTCCGTTTTTCCCGGGCAGATCCTTTGGGAGCTTTGAGAGTATCTGCCTCAACTCATAGTGTTTGCATGAAGTCTCACCGGCTCTTTCTGCCAGATTCATCCACTCTGCCAGCCCTTGGGGAACGTGAGAAGGCTCCAGGGTGACCGTGCCATCTATTTCTCTATGGCATCCAGGTCCTGTCTTCCCTTTGTTGTGGAACATCCCTTTGCCTGAGTATTCCCGTGTTTGGAGATACTCGCAGTCTGGGTAAATAGCAGCATGTGTTGATGTTCCAGATCAGATGTTGGTTTTGGTAGGGAGAGGGAGGTGTGTTTGGGCATTGGCTCAAACACCTGGCCACTGCCCTGTCCTGTTCTCCATCAGCTGTGGCAGTGGGCACTCGTCTCAGGACCAGGCATAGCCTGAGGGTACATCTTGCTATGGAGAAGATGGTGCTGGAAATGCCACAGCTAAAATGGCAGTGCCCACCTTGCACCGCTGACCATCCAAGTGAAGCAGAGCCACGTGGGAGTATCGCTGCAGCACCCTTCTGTCCCCATGGGCTATGCTGTGGTACCGAGGGACCTGGTGCCTCCAGCTCCCAGAGGAGAAGGCAGTGCGAGTGTGCTCCCAAGGAGGCTCAGCAGCTCTGCTGCGCTCACTTCTCAGAAATCAGATTGGTCTGAATCCAGGCTCCTCGCAGTCCAGTAAAAGCCCTTTTTTCTACAAAGCCCTCCCTCCCGTGTGTCAGGAACTACACGTCTGGCATGAGCCCCGTTGTGTCTCGTTGTTCAAGTCTTCACTTCCAGCAGGTTTGTTCTAATGAGCTGAAAGAGCAAAGCCGAAAGAGATTCTGAACTGAAGTCAGAGACAAATAAAGTAGGGTGTGATATTAATTTCAGCAGCAGCCTTGGCTAGGGCCAAGCGTGGCACTTCCAACATCTAATTGGCTTTTAAAAATAAATTAGTCTGGTTTTCATCTGCGTATTTCCCATGCAGGATATGTGGTGTTTGGCTGTGCCCTATTGTTAGATGGTCCCAACTGCCATTGAGCAGTAAAATTACCCAGACCTTTTGACTTTGCAGTCTGTGCTGTTAGCTATGGAGGCATTCTTCTGTAGCCTTCCCTTCCCTGAGTCAGTAGAAACTGATTTCTGTGGTTTATGATGTGGATTCGAGGGAGCAGGATGTGGGAGGCTGGCTACTGGCTTCCATTTGCAGGCTTTTAGAAGCGAATGGAGCTGTATCTGTTTCTGCTGGCAGAGTCAGGTTCTCTTAAGTATGTGCAAAAACATTTTTAAAATGGGAATTT